TAAATTAAATTAAATTAAATCTGTATTTGGTATTCCCTTTCCATATCAGTATAAATCACTTATTACAGCCTCATTGGACTTACTGTTCGGTTGTGATATTGGTGTAGTTGTGTAGCGAGCTGAAAACCCCCGGTAAGAATTAGCATAGTCCGTAGACATCACAATTGTCATAGCGTTAGATGAAGACTTAAATGTTGGCTTTAAATTACCGCACACTTTTTTGATTAAAGGAGAATCAGACGTTGGACCATCAAAAATGGCGAGAAAATCAAATCTGCAGTTCTCATCCATTTCTATCCTGGACACAGAGAAAAACATCAGTTTTTTTATTACTATTATTTCTCATACCCCCTTTTCTCCTTTATCTTCATTTATCCTTAGAATAATTTTGGTTCAAGGCTTTCCCCGGTCCTAGTTTGGCAGTCTTAACTTATACTCCATGTTAGCTCTGTGCCAAATAATACCACCTTGAGTTTGTGGCACTAGCTTTCATACGTGTCTGGATGCTGGCTACAGAAGCTAAACTGATGTAAGGTATAGGTTGGATTTAGGCAAATGTTTCTGAAATGTGTACAATTAATTCATGAATCAGTGTATTATAATGATTATAAATAGGGGGACCCAAGACTGAATGAAAATAGGAAATAAAGAGCATCAGTTTGGAAAAAGGTGACAGTCAAACACTTATTTAAGGAGAAGCACATTGTAATTTTGCTAAAATTCCACTTTCTCTTTATTGAATGGTTTTTATTGAGATGCCATTATATAATTCTGCCTATTTTTAAATGCAAAGTTAATCTTAAAACTTATTTTAGCTTATTTCTTTATTTAGAAATTTTAGCATTTCATACTCTGACCAGAATTTGAAAGACACATGTAAACCAAAATATACTTACAGTATCTCCTTGAAAATTAAATTTATTTGGGTATATGGTTTTGTTTCTATATGCCAGACACAATATGTCATGGGTTGATGTTTCTTTGGGTAATTCGGGCTGGTGAATGTTCCTTCTGGGCCAGTAAGGTAACCTCCACATCTGGCTTTAGAAAGATTTTTTTAAAAAAAACAACAACATCAGTATGCAGAAAATACAACATCGTTCACTATTCTTTCTTTTCCTATCCTCTGCCAGTGGAAGGATTCAAGCTGTTTAGAAATTATGCAACTGCCTTTATTACCTTTAAAGTAATCCTTAGGGTTCAAGTTTGGATTTTTTAAAAGATTATACATACAACATGGGATTAATAGAGCTTCCACTAAATCTATGTGCTGCTGAAAGAAGAATTGGCCGTAAACAGATTGAGCCCACTGTGAGTTAATGTCTACGCACAATTGCTTGGTATTCAGTTACAAGAAGTCCTTGACTCACGACCAGTTGTTAAAATTTGCAGTCACGTCAGAACAAGCCGTAAAAGACTTGCAGTTGATGCAATATGTCACTCTTCCCCCCCCCCCCCCACCGCAGTTACATTATCACATTTTGGACACTTGGCAATCTGGTCACATTTACAACTAGTTGCAAAGTGCCCAGTAATCATGTAATCGTTTGCAAGCTTCTCTGCTGGCTTCTTCTGGAACTATATAAGGAAGTTGCCGGGGAAGGTTGCAAATATCTCAGGGGATGCCACAAAGAAGAGGGAGTCAAGCTATTCTCCAAAACAACTGAGCATAAGACAAGTAGCAATGGGTGGAAACTAATCAAGGAGAGAAGCAACCTAGAACTAAGAAGAAATTACCTGACAGAACAATTAACTAGTGGAACAATTTGCCTCCAAATTGTGAATTCTCCGACACTGGAAGTTGCCTCCAGAAGTTGTGAATGCCCCAACACTGGAAGTCTTTAAGAAGATGTTGGACAGCCATTTGTCTGAAATAGTATAGGGTTTCCTGCCTGAGCAGGGGGTTGGACTAGAAGACCTCCAAGATCCCCTCCAACTCTGTTATTCTATATTCTAACAGGTAGGGATGTTGGATTTGAGGTCCCTTCCTCCAGAGGGGTATTCTTCTACGTGCTGGAAGAACAGACTTCGGATCTGGTAAAAATACTAGTGAATACCTGCATTCCAAGCTGGCGTAAAAACTGGCTGCATCCCCCCTTCCCGCAGCCCATTTTCAGCCTCCTGCAGCACTCTACTGGCCAAAACCGACCCATGCAGAGGCCTTGCTCCCCCCCCCCCCGCCGGCTCGCGGTGAAGAACTACAATGCTGATCCAGCCCTTGAAGAAATCCAGTTGACACCCCTGGCTTAGTTCAACCACTAAGATTTCAAGCCTGATTGTGGTCATAAGCGAAGGACTATCTGTAAGGTGAAAATCTTTCTTTCTGGTATTGAGTATACACATTATGTACAGACTTCAAATTCTCTGTGCTTGAGCTGGTTTTACTTTGTTTTTAACCCACTTTTCAATTAAGAATTCATCATATCTATAAAAAGCTAAGTGCAATTTTATCGCTTCAAGCAATTCTACAATCAATTTCTATTCTAAAACTGGCAACCTGAATTCCCAGGTGATTCTGGATGGAGATCTCCCATCTTCTCTGGACGACTTACGTGTATCTGGTGAAATATAGTAATAAAGCGCATGGAAGTTTCGTGTAAAATTCGTGGAAGCTGTTGATATGCGAAATGTTAAAGCCGAAGCTGATGAGTGAAATGCTGATTCTTTAGTACGGCATATTTTTCCTATGACAGATGAATTAGTTGAGGGACCATCATATATTTCAATGTATTCTTCGTCACATGAGGACAGTGGGCTAAATCTTAAGAGAAAAAGAGAAGATGGGTTTTTCTATATGGGGGTATTAATGAAATCCCATGATATAAGACAATAGTGCAATCTTCTGATAATTGACACCAAATAAAATATTTGCACTAAGCTTCCATTATAGCAGTACTGTATCTCCCTCCTGCAAACATTACCAAAACAGGGTCTCCAAATCCTGGCTTCATATAATTGTGTCATAATTCTGCCATCTGAGTCCTCTGTCACTGAAAAAAGAAAGACTGCCTACAAAAATGATGCCTATAAAAGTAGTTCTCAACTTTTGACCGTAATTGAGCCAAAATTTCTAAGTGAGACAGTTGTTAAGTGAGTTTTGCCCCATTTTATGACTGTTCTTGCCACAGTTGTTAAGTAAATCACTGCAGTTATTAAGTTAGTAACACGGTTCTTAAGTGAATCTGGTTCATCGTGAAAAGCGCGCTTGACAAAAGCGCGCTGACGAAATCGCAGCGAGGAAACCGCAAATTCAAAATCGCGCTGACGAATGAGCGCAGAAGCGCGCCGACAAAAGCGCGCTGACAAAAGCGTGCCTTCAACAAAGAACTAATAAACCCTAAACCTAACCCTGAACCTAACCCTGAACCTAACCCTTCCCTTAACTTAAATCGCGCTTCCCTTACCTTAACTTAAATCACGCTTCCCTTAACTTAAATTGCACTTTTGTGGGTGCGATTTTGTTGGCGCGTTGTTGTGGGCGTGTTTATGATGTCGCGGTTTTCTCACCGCGGTTTCGTCAGCGTGCTTTTGCCGTGCGCGCATTTTGTCGGGTCACGAGTGAATCTGACATCCCACTGACTTTCCTTGCCAGAAGGTCACAAAACATGATTACATGACTTCTTCCTCTACCTTTGCTTACTCACAATCTTTGTGCCAACTTGGTTTCTTATTTCTGTTAGCCCCTGAATGTTGCTTATATCTGGGTCAGAGATGGCAAAACTAGGACTGTGGGGTACCTCAAGATTGGTCTAGATGAGGGGGAAAAACTCTCTCCCCCTCTCCCCCCCCTCTCTCACAGACAGACAGACAGACAGAGATTGGGGCCAGCGGGGAGGGGGGGGGGCAACAGTCAAGTTAGGTATTTTCTAAATTTTTGAAGCACTGAATCCAAAAGCTGTAGTATATATTGGAGGTGGTGATCGCTGCTTTAGCGTGATGATATCTTTTCTCCTTTTTTCCTAATGCTACATCAGGCTAAGTGGCTTTCGTTTTTCTCTGTTGCGTGCATGGCTTGTGTACTTACACAGTTTCACAGCTTTTTGTTGCTTTGATCTACACTGCTAGATTTAATATTATGATACGGCTGAATTAATTCTATATTAACACTATATGAATATATTTTTGCTTTCTTCAAATGTCATCCACGTAATCATTCTATGTATTCTTGTCTGGTTTTATTAGCACTATTGTACATCAAACCGTCTGGTTGTTATATTTCACCAATAAAACATTTAAAAAACAAAGTTTCGTTTCTTGTCTGTCCAGGTTTGGAGGTAGATCTCCTACAGATCTCTCTTCTATGGATCTCCAAATCTGATTTCCTTACTGACAATGCCTAACAAAACCCCGCTCCCTTCTCTTCTCTTAATCCCACTCTCTAATTAACTTGCCATTTCCAAGGATCTTATTTCCTTCGCATCTTGCTACTTCCAGTTGGCTTATCTAATTTATAATTTTTCTGCCATTTCATATGAAGAATACTTACTCAATGTAAGAAAAAATTAGTCGAATGGTTTGATTTGTATCGCTTTCTCCCTTTATTTCCCAGATGCAATTTTCATTTGCGTTGAGTTGAATTGGTATTGCTTGAAAACTTTTTATCAGTGTTTTCACACATGTTGTATTCCGTTCTAGAAAACCAGCATTAATCTTAGTAAAATTTTATAGCGGAATTTTGAATGAAAACCTTTGGAGTTTACTTATGTAAATGTAGAATTCTCATAAAAACATCTATATATTTACATGTTCCTCACTGAAAATAGTTATAGACTGAAAAGATCTGACCTTCACTCCGTTTATATTTTGGTTTCTATTTTACCCAGGTTTTTGTTGTTGTTGTTGTTAATTTTCAATGATCAATGTTTTAACTTTTTAATATTTTAATGAAGTTGTAACCACCCAGAGGCATTCAATAGTGAGATAGGTGGCATATAAATGTAATAAATAAACACATTTTAAATGTGCGCATTACACTTTGTCTTACACAAGAGAACACTATAACAATTACAATATTTTTATAAACTATAGTGATGTAAGAGCTTCTCAAATATACAGGGTGGGGCATAACCTTTTCCTAGGGGGTCACAGCAACACTTGTAATAACAACACAAATAATTCATACACCATTCGAAAGCCCATCA